CTCCCTTAACATAGACCTTCTCAGGGTAACTCGGTGAAGTGTCTCTCCCTCTGGGTCACATTGAGCCCACCCACAACATGGAGATGAGGGACTAGACCAGAAACTCTTAATCTGAGAGACACTAACCCCTTAAATCATTACCAATATTGGGTGTGCATCTTTCTTTGGCAGTTGTTCTGGGAAGGAGGAGTGCCCAGCTGTAGTTAGAATTTTAAATGGATGCCAGTCCTGCAAAAATGAAACAAACAAACAAACAAAAACCAAGAATGGACAACAGGGGCTTAGATTCAGAGACAGACCATCTTCAGTGTCTTTCTATGCATTAGGGTTATCAGGGTAAATCTAAAGGCAGGTCATGTCACTTTCTATAGTTGAACCTTCTACAGGCCTCCCGTCTTCTTCAGAACAAAATCCAGACTCCTCAGTATGGCTACACAGCCCTGTATCATTAGGGCCCTGCGAGTGTCTCCAGCCTCATCCTGGGAGCTTACACTCTTGTCATGGTTCCCTGTGTCTTAGTCACATTCCTCTTTCTCTTTTCCCAAACACCAAAACCCTTTCGGTCTCAAGTCTTTGTCCCTTCTATTACCCTTTCTGTCCCTAAGTCATCATAGCTCTGGCCCTTTCTCCTCCTTCAGGTCTACGCTCAGAGATGTCCCCCTGCCTCTCCCACCTGATCATCTAAAGTGCCTCTGCCAGTCACTCTCCATCATGTTACTCAGGTTTTGTTGCCTCCACATTAATCACCCATATCAGAAATGCTCTTCTCCAGTGATTACTTCTAGTCTTTTGTGTTTTCTCTACATTGAAGGATGCTCAGTATCCCATTTGTTCACAGGACGTCTCCTGCCCCTACTTTAGGGTTCTGTTTAGATGCAAGGGCTGTGTGTTGGGCTGAATAGTCCTCAGGGAAGACCAAGGCACTAGGGCAGATAATGAGGACGAGTCCCATAATTTTTCTGGAAATCTCAACTCCAATTGATATAAACCTCCTATGGCTACTTATTTTACTCGAAGAGCAAAAGGATGTACTGAGGCCTACAAAGCCCCACAGACTGGTATCCTCCTGTAGAGTGCTGAGGTGTCCCCATTTTAGCCATCTGTGTCATTGCTTAACTCTAGCTTCCAGGTCTTCCAGGCTGTACACATCACCAGGGACTAGCTGCCATCGTGGCAAGGGGCTTTGCCTTCCACCAGGTGATGTGCTCACAGTTAGAGATCCTGGTTCCTTCTAAGGAAGGGTGGGGACAAGGACAAGGCCTAAGGGGGATGAAGGAGTCACCTCCTAAAGAACTAGGGAATCTTGCAATTTGCTGTTAGTGGGAAGATGAGAGGACAGTGGTGGCCTCCCCTATGATTGGGGGCTTCTGTATGTGACATTCTCAGTGCATTCAATCTAGCTAATCCTTACCTGCCTTTAAACTGGATTCCATATTGTCCCCAACTTATGGCAAGTTTTCCTAGCAGTGCCAACTTCTTAGACTTCATGCTGAAGGCCCAGTGTCCTTCAGTTTGCAGTTTATGTCCGTTCCTACTGTGATGCCTGTGTCCAGAGGTCTGTGCCTTTTATCCTTGTTTACTCATGCATGCATAGAGAAGAGGTTAAAAAAAAAAACAAAACGGGGTTAAGTGGTTTGGAGCCTTAGAAGTCTCCAGGAGGGATGAGGAAGCAAAGACAGGCCTCAAGGTGAGCCCAGTGAATGGGATGTGCACTTGTCCTAGGGTGGTTGTGGGATTAAGAGCTGTGTGGTAGAAAGGAAAGCCTTAAGTCTGGCTGGAGCACCTGGAAGTGGGTTTATGGGTGGTTGTGGGGCTGCAAGGGATCCAGGTGCTGAGACAGATTTGCACACAGGGATTTAATTTGGGAAACTCATGATCAGATCTGAAGAGGACTGAAAGCAGTGGAATTATGCAGAAAGAAACATCCTACAGTGTAGTTAGAACCAAGGCCTAAGCTGAGTCCACAGTGAGCTTGGTCCTGACTGGGTGCATCTCAGAGGTGCACTGCAGCATTTACTCCACGTGGTAGTTTCTGTGGGGTTTTTTGGAGTATGAGAATTGTCATGCAACCCATAGAAGAATTGTGGGGGAAATCTCAGAGATCGTTTTCTGTGTTACCTTTGGTATTTTGGGGTATTTTGGGTGACAAGTCAAGGTTTTAGATGCATTTTGGAAGATAAAAATGATGATTGAGAGTGTTTCCTTGGAAGATGTTAAGGTTTCATTGGGAATATGCATCACTGGAGACATCTCTTTTTTATTGGTAGATTTTGGGCCTACTCTGGTTTGGGGTGGGGTCATTATGAATGAAATATGGTGTCTTGGCTCAATGAGTCTGTGGATGTTTTATGTGTATTATTCCATGAGTTAATAGGGCTGTGCGGTTTTATAGCAGGATGGGTGAACCATTATAGAGTATCCAGAGAGTGTGTGGGACCCCATGGGAATTTGTAAGAGTGTGAGTCCAGAAGGACAACAGTGGGATCTAAGAATCAGGTGGCAGATGATTTTCATTAGGGAGGGTTTGCTGTGGACGGGTCTATGGACACAACTCAAGACAGAGTGGTTGTAAGAGTCTGTGACTAAGGGAAAGATTTTTCCAAGAGTCAGAGGGCAAACACAGCACAGTGACCTGCTAAATTGGTACTATCCTTGGGAAGATAAAGCCGCCACTTTCTTGTGGTGAGGCCAGTGATGTTTATTCTGTACTGGCCTCTCCTTGTCTGTGGCCCCCCACACCTCCCACACACACCCACACAGTCATGCAGTCACAGAGTCATAAGGCAGCTGAGGAACTGAGGGGCAAGATGTTTTAAACTAAATGTGGAACATAGATATTCCTCCAGTGAGAAGGGACCACTAGATCCTGGGAAGGGAATTTGAGAGTTATAGCCCTAGTAATGTTAGGGAGATTGAGGAACTGGAGAAAGGAAGAGCTCTGATCATCCTTATCAGGTGACCCTGTGCTCAAGGAGTTAGTACAGTAGAATGGGGTAAGCTTCTGCGGTCAAATTTGGAGAAACGAGTTTGTCTTTCTACACAATCTCCACAGACACCCTATCTACATACTTGTCCCTTTCCCCTTTGTCTTCTCTAGAATGGCAAAGTTGGTGCTTCCCCAGATGGATGACTTGAGGAAGAGGAGAGTTTTGTCTGTTTTTGCCCCTTCTTTATCCCCTCCCTCAAGTCTTCTACCTTCCTCTCTACTGTTCTTCTACTGTTGTGTTCAGACACTTCCTACCATTCTGCTATCCATGTGCACCACATGAAGACCCACTGATTTGGGTCTCTGAACATTGGGTCTGAGTCAGTGTCATTGCAAAGTGAGAAATCTTGTATCCCAGGAACTTTTCTCCATGGAGGGGTCTGGGCAGCCTGGAGGCCTCTTCTCTTTCTGCCATGTTTAAGGTCTTTTATTGCCAAAGTGGGTCTGTCCAGCCTGAGCAGCTACCTCATGGATCAGCTAGATATGTTTCTGGTTGAACTTACACTTGCCCTTTACACCTGTTGGTCAAGCAGAGTGGTCTACATGAATGAACCTTGGCTCTGCTTCTTGGCTTCTAGTCAGCTCCCTCCTCAGTCGTGATGAAGATCATTCCAAGGACAAACAGGACTCCTGCACACATCAATCCCTCAAAGGGAAGGCCATGCCAGAGAGTGTACTAGTATCACTCTGTCATTCCCATTCATTCAGTTATTCAATAAATACAAAAACTCAGTTATATGCCATGCTCATTTTTTGTCTGCTCCAAGGATGAAAACAGAAAACCAACAGAATATACACCTTTACCATATCCAGTTTATTTTTAAATGATGGAGATGAACAAACCCTTTTAGTTACTAATACTCATACAAGTCAGATGCCCTAAAGAAAAGGACTGATGTAATCCTTCCTCTGGGGACCCCCATTTCCTTGCTTCTCTCTGGCATCATCATCTCATCCAATTCTGCCTACTCTGTTTCTGTCCCCACGTGGCTGATGACAGCCAGAGGAAATATACACCAAAATTGACTGGTCTCACTTCAAGTCGCAGCCCAGCTCCTCTTTCATTCCCCTATTTGTCTATTACACACCTTTCCTCTGGAGCCCCTCAGGAATCCAGCTCCTCCACTTCCATCTTTTCTCTCAAGGACCTTTGTTCTTCCTCCATTGCATCCTGGAAGCAAAGGAAGATCTTCTCCAACATTCCTCCCACCTGTCTTAGACCTGTGTTCTCTACTTAGTGTTGACTGGGAATGGTCTGTCCCTGCTCCTGGCTGTTGCTGACCCTATGATTGTGCACCACTTGCCACCCCACTCACAGTCCCAGGATGGTATGGTGTCCTTCCTCACCTGCATCATCAATTTTTTGTGGGGGAGGAGGTGTGGCTGACTTATAAGGAGATCCAAGTCCTTGATCTTGGTGTTATTAACACTGCACACTAACCAACTGAGATAACCAACCAGTCCATCAATTTTTACTTCAATGGAATTATTTTGGGTAGCATACCCTGATGGTGGTATTGTCCATCTTAAACACACACACACACACACACACACACACACACACACACACACAGAATAAAGCCTTTTTTCTTCTATTATTCCATTATTAAAACAGAATATTCTCTATTAACTACATTTCCCCCTGTAGTAAGTAGCCCTCTTCTACACTCCATTTAAGAGCACATTACACTAAAAACTTCTTTATACTCTGTCTTCAGTTCCCACCTCCACATCGCACTTGAACTCATCTAATCAGGCTTTCACATCCAGCATTCCACTGAGACTTTCTTTTCCAGACACCAGTGACCTCCCCGTTTCTAAATCTAATATTTAATTTTCTGTCATCATTTTCCTTTTCCTATTAGCAGCAAGTTCCTCCCACTTCTTTTTTCTTGGCTTTGAGGACATCCCACTAACCTTTAAAAATCTATTTGTTTTAATTTTCTTATCGACTCTATGATCACTTCACACTTTTCCTCTGCTTGTATTTCCTAAACCCTGTTCTCTGAATGTGGTTGTGTCCCACTTCTTAAATCTCTTCTCATCTCTGTCTAGACCTGCTGACTTTCCTTGTCATCTTATTTCATGGCTTTAATTACTACCTACGTGTCTCCATTTCCCCTGGAGTCTCCTCCCCCAAACTCTAGAATCCTGCATTCAATTGTTTCCTCAACTGTCTGCTGGGACATTGAACAGACATGTCCACCTTCGTATGTCCAAAAGTGACTTCTGAGCTCCCCCAAAGGTTCTCCCCCTGCAGTCCTCACACCTCAGGTAAGGGCGGCCCTCTACTTTCTGAGGCTCAGTTGCACATCTCTGTATATATTTAAAATATGGAAGCTATCACATTATTTTGTAAGTGTTTTAATTTGTAAAATAAAAAATGCATGTTTGTTTAAACTGGTTGAGGAAATACATCATTTCCAAAATTCTTTTAGGTGTGGAAGAGAAAGGTTTGGAGACCTTGGCCCTGCCTGACGTGCTCCCCCCAGTACCTCTGACCTCATCTCCTGCTTGTGTCCTCCTTTCTCACTCTGCTCCAACCACACAAGCCTCTGTCCTTTTCCTGGGGCCAAGGTTGCCCCTGCGTTAGACCTTCACTTGGGCTGTCTCTCTACCTAGAACTCTCTGGCCCCTGAACTGCAGGTGGCAAACACCCTTCCTTCCCTGCATCTTTGTTCTGGTATCACCTTTTCAGTGGAGACTTCTGTGACTCCCCCAATCCATGCTGTTATCATTCCAGCTGCACTGTCACCCCACCTCTGGTCTATATTGCCTGCTCTGCATGTTTCTTTGTGTGCTCCTTTGCTTCCCTCTGTCTGCATACTGGTGATAACAGGGCTCCAAGGGGACAGCAGAGCCAGAAGGTGAGAGGTGTGCTGGATTTGCCCCTCTGAGTGGTGCTCAACCCTAGCAAGTTGATTCTAATGTACATCCAGCATTGAGCACCAAGGCTGTGTCCTCCATTTCTGAGGGCTGAAATCTGCCTGTGATCCTCAGAAGAGTGGGCGGGGGGGAGGCTGTTCTCTCAATGGGGTAGGTCAGGGTCGGGTCTTTGCCCTGAAGGGAGCTCGGTCCAGCCCAGCTCCTCACTGCTGCAGTGGGCTTCACCAAGAGGGGAGTGAGTTCTGAAGAAAGGGGTCAAAACCTCACTTGTTGGTTTTCCTGTAGGAGTTTATTATCACCTCATCCCCCTGGTGCAATGGACAGCAGAGGAATTGTCTTCCACTGGTGAGGTCTCTCCTGTGTGTGTGGTTTTGCATAGGAAGGGGGTGTGTTGTATCTAAGCATTAAGCAGCTTTTTTTTAATATTCAGAATTGACTTTTAAAGACTCATTTTTCCTGAGGAGGAAGCTTAAAAGAGGACAAAGAGGAAAGAAAAGGAGTCAGGAATGGCTCTCACTCAGGTAAAGTGATATTCTCAATTGATTGTTCTTTGTCCTTCCTTTCTGAAATGTGGGCATTGCAGTTGCTCATCTTCTCTGACTCTGAAGTTTCCTGCCTGACATGTTTGCTCGCACTCACCCATGCCTTTCCTCAGTCCCTCTCGTCTCCTCTTAAATTCCTTCTCACAGTGACCCCGTGACATGAACTTGTGAATAGGCTCCACTGGGCATGGTCCTGGGAAGGGCCTCACTACCAGGCATAGATTCGTGATGGGTGTGGGCCCTGTGGTGTCAGTGCTGTTGGGCAGCAGGGAGTGTTTAGGGCCACATCTGGATGCACTGGCAGCTCTCTGTGGGCCAGGATTAGAGGAGCTGCTCATGGAAGTCACATATTAATGTGCACAAATACCTACTAAATTCTGGGAAAGGAGACCAATAAGGGGAAATCTGTTCGGCCTGATTTTATGCTACATTTGGAGCTAAATGAGTGAATCACTGTGTTTCTGACTCCAAAATCTTAATGATTAGAATAGAATGGAAAGTTTGACAGAGATTTCAGTGATAGAGGTGTCTTAATTCCATCATCGATTTTAAAATATGAAATCAAGCTAAAAATGTAAAAGCAGGAGATTCATTAAACCCTTCTCAGCAAATCTATTTCAAGGAGGGAGTGGTGTTCTTGAATGGATTCTTGTGTGGCAGATCTTTCAGGTAAAAATGGTTATAATTTTGCTCAGACATGGGAGCGTTAGAGAGAATGGAACCATATTCTCTTTCCACCAATTATTGTTAAATATTCTGTTCTTTTTAAATGAAACATCAGATGAGGTATATATTTGTTTTGTGGTAAAATTCCAAACAAATGTGCAGCTTAGCCACTAAGACTTAAAGCATTCCCTTTCCCGTCACATCCTCCACATTCTCTCTCACATCTCAATGGGGAACCACTGTTTTCAGTTCTGTGGCTGGAGTCAAGGAAGTTTTGTCGTTTAATTTTTATATATGCCTTCTTGTCATTTTTTTGGTTATAAATTTTTTTTAGTGTGAAACAGAAATCTTTTCTTCATGCCCTGGTTTTTTTTTTTTTTTTCAATCTTCCTTTGGAAGGTCTCCCTTAATGTATGGTTACAAAGGCTCCGTTTCATTTAGATCTAAGTGCTAGCCCCCTCTTTCCACCTTAATGTAAAGAAAATGAATACAGTGTTTACTGATGATAGTCACATTTGGTAGAATGTTCTTGCTTACTATCAAGTTTTATTATGTTTCTCAAATTTATTTTTGGCCTGATTTTTGATTATTCAATAATTTCTTCAGGTATATACTACTGAGATATATTTTCTTTTTGAACTTAATATCTTTAATACATAGTGCTCACAAACTTTCTAATTTTGTATCAACAGTTTTATTAGTGGGATAAACTAATAAATTTCACTGGGGTTTTGTTAATGTCTAAATATCTAAATTGATGTGGATAAAATTGTGTTCATATTTTTGAATATGGGTAATTAATAGAGATTAGAGTTCCAGTTCCTTCATTTTTAAAATTTTGTATCACTTTTTAATAGCTCAATATACTATAATGTTTATAAACTAAATTAAGTACAGTTTATACATCTTCATTGTCACAAACATGCTGAAACGTACGTGAGCAAAAATAATGAAAAAAAATCATTGAAAAAATATGTTGAGGGACAATTCCTCTTATTTGAATTAATGTAAATATGTGTGTATGTGATGTGTGTGCATGAGTGCATGGATGCACAAGCCCATGGTTTTTATCAAAGACACATGATCATTTGAAATACATTTTTATTTTTAGCAGTTGAAATTCTACCTTAAATTTTTTATGGCCTTAAGTTTGTTCTATACTATCAAGTTAATTAGTTAAAAGTAATGAGTAGTAATGTTTTATTATTATTATTTATTAGCATGTGCACATATGTAATGACCTTTTATGAAGATCCATGTTATTACCCTGGAACTTGTTTTAACTTCACTTAGTTAAGTAACTCTCTGTCGATTTATTTTTGATGCTGTATCTGTTACTTTTAACTGATTCTTCAGGTTCATTTCTAATTCCCACACACCTGGGTTCAGGTGCTTGCTCTACCACTTTTAACTCTGACCTGAAGCGAGTTTCTGAGAGTGTCTGTGACACAGTTGTCTCCTCGGTTAAGATGGGAATAGACCTTCCTCTCGTGAGCTATTGTGTTGTTATACTAGTTAGTACATGTAAAGCATTTAGAATAATCTGTAGTGCATTTTAAGTTCAGAAACTTCAGTCATTGCTATTGCCGTCATCATCACGGTTTTTATTTTTTTATTTATTTTTTCTTCATACCCTATACCTTAGCTGAATGATGAGGACTCTAGGGACTTAGAGGAGGACAAAGACACAAGAGTGCACAGAACCTGATTCCTTGAATGACCCCATGAAAAGCCACACAATCAGGAACTATGCTATGAGCAAGAAGTAAAAAGTTATTTTAAGTCAGTGAAAAATTAGAGTGTATCTTTTACAGCAGCTCATGTTAGCTTGTTACAACACCCTGTGGAACTGGGCTAGTTGGCAGTCTGCAAACATGATAGTAGGAATGTTAAAACCTCTCCATCCTTCCAACCCCATTAAATCAAAAGAAGAGACTTGAAACTGTGTGTGTGTGTATGTATGTATATGTGTATATACATATATATGTACATGCACATATATACACACACACACAGAGACACATATACATAAATGGCATGGAAGTGAGGAAAACTGGAAGGAAGAGGAGTTTATAAAAAAATAAAAATAAAGCAGATTTCTTAGGACATGAGGTTCAGAGAATGTCAGGAGGAAATGAACAGGGGCTCATAAGGAAAAGGTGAGAGACAGTATACCACATATATGCCTCCCATTTCTACTGTGGCCATTAGGAACCAAAACTGTAACAGGCATTTTTATAAATGACAAATACAAAGGAAAGATGAGATAAGGCAGATTCTGATGTAAGCGGGACAAGACAACAGGATGAAAACAAGAGGGATAATTTTCTTTTAAGGGATACTAAAGTTAGAAATACAGGTCCATTTAGTCATGCAGGAAATACTAAGAAGAAAGCTCTGCAAATCTGAGGGAACAAGAGGAGGGCTTCCTTTCTTGGGGTTGGGGGTGCTGATGAAGAGCAATGCCTTTGATCTAAAGAAAAGTTAGGACAGGCTGTTTAAGCTGATCATCATCATGGTTTTTAGATTCTGATCTTTCATTCTTTAAAGTCACTGCGGGCTTTGTCATCTCGGAAGACACCGCTCATGCTCTAGCTAATCTAGATATTGAATTTCACCTGGTGTGCAACATAATATCTAACACTTGTATAGAGATAACCCTGTTTTGATTTTTTGTGTGTGTGTGTCTGTGGTCTATTTTTTGTATTGTCCAGAAAAGTGAGAAATGCATACTGATTTAAGAGGCTACCATAACCTCTTATGGGAAAGTATAATAAAAAACAATTAGAGAGACATAACTTGCTGAAAAATACCTTAATGTGGATCTGTCAGAGGCTCACATCAGTCAAAACCATCCTACAAATCTCTTTTTAAATTTTGTATGAAGACAACTCTCCCCATAACTCCTTCGTAAAATGTATTTTTCATTTTAGGGATGCTTGACATTCGTGGATGTGGCAATAGAATTCTCTCAGGAGGAGTGGAAAAGCCTGGACTCTGCTCAAAGGGCTTTATACAGGGATGTGATGTTGGAGAACTACAGGAACCTGGTCTCCCTGGGTGAGAATAACATTCCTGCACAAGTCAGGAATCTGCCCTTGTGTATCTTTGCGTTTTCCCTTTGTGTGCCTCTTGGGAGCCCCTACATTGCATATGAGATTGAAGCTTTGTTAACTTAGAAATGAAAAGCTTCACAATGTGGCATCTGGAGTTTAACCATCCCCTTTCTTCAGATGTTCTGCCCCCTTTATGATATATTCCAGAACTTTAGTATGCATAAAACCTTATGGCAGACTTAAAATATTCAGTTCCCTGTTTTGTGTTCTTGTACTTTTGATTCAGTGGTTCTTTGAAGAGAGCTAGTTATCTGCACATCACAGTGTTTCCATAAGCATTCAGAAGGAAGTAATCAGTGGATGAATTTGTGAAATATTTTTAAAAATTCATCGGTAATGTTCTCACCTAAACATAGAGTTGGGATTCTGGGAAAGCCATAGCACATCATGTTTCTTACTTTTTATAAGCAGGAATATCTCTTCCTGACCTGAGTGTTATCTCTACTTTGGAGCAAGGGAAAGAGCCATGGACTGCGGGGAGCCAAGTGAAAATAGCAAGAAAATCAAATGGGTAGGAATGGACCAAAAGTGTCAACACAGGTAAGAGCTCAGATGGGCAGAGTGGAAGATGCACCATTAAATAGTGTTTGGGAAGCTTTTCAAGTGGAAGACTTCTATGGTAATACGAAACGTTATTTCCTACAAGCTCTGAAAGGAAATTTTTCTTTTCCTCCACTTAGAATTCTGCTGTTCAGATGCATACAAGTTTATTCTCTCTCCCTCCGTTGGTGCTGCAGCTCAAACAGAAACAAAGGCAAAGTCTTTATCATGATGGACAATACTCTATCATCTGGCATCTGTGAACTCTTTGGTTCCTTGATGCTGAATGGCAAGGGAAGGGTTGTTTCAAGGAGTCTCTTTCCTCCTTGGTCTCTCCTTCTGTACTTGATTCCCTCTGATGCTCATCTCTCAGTATATATAGATCAGAGTTGAGGCTCCCATAGTCCTGGTACTTGGACCCATTCAGGTTCCATCCCCATTTTTAATACTTGGAAGACCTAATAAGGAGATGGGAAAACATTTACTCTTTCTTTGCATCTCAGGTCCCAGACACTGCATGGAGCTGTCTCAAGCCCTCACTGCCTGTTCAGGTCTCTTTGAGATAGAAAAAAAACCAAAGTGTTTTTTTTACTCTAACACACCATTCAACTCAGAATGCTTCAATTCCGGTCACCAAAATGTGTGGAGGTTTCTCCCCACCAACAACTGATTTTCTGGTAGACACCAACTGGATGTCCTATAATTCAATTCATTTCTGACACTATCTACCTGGAGTAGAGTCAGATCTCATAGGTTAAGGGCTCAGTCACACAAGACTGCCCACTGGCTTCCAAAGCCAATCACAAGTAGTAGGTTGTCACCTATACTTCTGACCCGCTGCCCATATATTGGGGTTCCCATGACCCCATCTTGGGGTTCAGTTAACTTGCTAGGGTGGCTGACAGAACTTGGGGAGATACTTATATTTACCAGTTTATTATTAAGGTTGTTACAATATAGATGAACAGTCAGGTGAAGAGATGCACAGGGCCACGTATGTGGGTATGGGCACAGAACTTCCATTCTCTCTCTGGGCATACCACCCTCCAGGCACCTCCATATATTCAGCATTTGGAAGCTCTCTGAACTCTGTTGTTTAGGGACACACACACACACACACACACACACACACACACACACACACACACACACACACGCGTATCTTTATGTACATATATGTACGTACATATATATATATATATGTAAAGAAATGAAATTTATTTCTTACAGTTTTGGAGGCTAGGAAGTCCAAAGTCCAGGGAACAACTCTGGCAAGGACCTTGTTCTTGTTGGTGACTCTCCACTGCAATGCAGGGTATCGCGTCGTGACAATGGGCTGAACATGAGAGCTGTTCAGAGATTTTTATGGAGACTTTATCACATAGGTATGATCGATTATTGACTCAATCTCCAGCCCCTATCCCCTATCTGGATAATGGGTGCTGGGACTGAAAGTTTCAAGCTTCTAATCATGGCCTGGTCTTTTCTGGTAACCAGCCCCCATCTGGGAGTCTACCAAAAGTTGCCTCATTAGAACAAAAGATGCTCTTATCACCTAGGAAATTCCAAGGTATTTAGGAGCTCTGTGTCAGGAACTGGGGTCAAGGACCAAATATTACAATAGATTCTCCAAGTGCCTCTATCTACAGGCTCTATATCATGAACCAGGGGCAGAGAACAATATATTTATTTCCTACTCTTTCCCAAGGTCCCTCAGCCATTTATTCAGTTCTGCTTTTGCCACACTTCACTGGTGTGTGTAACCAGGGAGTAGACTGGATTTTCTGCAAATGTTACTCAGCAGAACTGTAAAGATAGCTGACTAAAAGATCCTCTCTTTGATTCCTAGTTCCACACGAGAAGCATGTAGAATGCCTCCCTTTTTAAATTTGTAGTGCGTGGAACTGTTATACAGGGGGATGGCTATTGATTTACGTATTTTAGAACATTTCCTTCATTAGTGCAGAGGGTATGTCCTCACAGGAGTTTGTCTAAAACCTACACAAACTCAAGATCTTTTTAAAGATAGTCTTAATTATTCCTTTTACTTCTGTTTCACCTCACCTGTAATTAAAGGACACTTTTGTCAATTAAATTTATTACAGTTCTTAAATTGAAAATTTTTGATATCTCAAGAATATACTTTTTCTTATTAAGTTGCTGTCTTTATCTCAGAAATGCCACTAAATTGACTTGCCATAATTTGTTATTTAAGATACATTGCATTTCCTAGAATATGTTCTCAGTTTTGTAAACATAACTTACTGGGTTTTGTTTAAATTCATTTTATGTTTCTTAGAACAAGTGCTGTATTATAATTATTTTCCCTGTCTACCGTCTTGGTATAATACATTAATATTTCAATATCTCATAGTATTAACAGGAAAGTTAGCCCGTTTCTTGCACTTCAAAGACTTCTCCACTGTTGTGTTTGTCCCCTGTATTTTCTGCATAATTTTTAAGTACTGGAAATTTCGTTCTTAATATATGAAGACTGTTTTGTTCCCTGTCTTTTCCTCTAAATTTCCAGTAAATGTTCACCTGGTGCCTGTGAACCCACCTCCTGGTGTTGTCCCATTGTTCTCTGGCTCTATTTGCTCCTTATGTTGCTGATGACCTCCTCTGTGGGTCTGCACACCACTGCCAAGAAATGTGTCTCCACTTTGCTGCCTCTAACAGCACCTTTCAGTACAAGCCATTCGCTACTGTTGTCATTTACCTATTTTCTCCATAAGTTTATTTATATTCTTCTGGTGCTATTTATGAAGTCAAACTTAATTCATTTTGGGTACACAATAATTTTCCATTCATTCATACTAATAACTATATATCAACTAATATATATAATAGTATTACCCCTGACCTTATGTTTCATATATTTTTTATATTTTGTCATATACTTTTTATAATATTTTACAGTGTATAAGCTTAGTAGAGTTAAAGTATACCGTATTTTTCTTGTTGTTGGAATTTAGAGTCAATTGGTTCTCATGAGTATTTAGACTACACTTTTTGTTCTTCTATTTCTGTCTTTCCCCATCCCGTGGAAACTACCATTCCACTTTCTGTTTGTGCGAAATTGACTATTTTGGATACCTCATATGAGTGGAATCACAGTGTTTGTCTTTTTTTTTTCCGTTTTGTCTTTTTTCGTGACCGGTAACGGGATCGCAACCCTCAGTGTCGCGCCTGCACCGCGCTCAACCAGTGAGCGGACTGGTCTCTATATGGGATCCAACCCCTCGGCAGGAGCGCCACCGCGCTCCCAAGCGCCGCACTCTACCGAGTGTGCCACCGGGCCGGCCTGGTGTTTGTCTTTTTATGATTGATTTGTTTCATTTAGCATAATGTCCTTAAGGTTCATTGATGTTGTAGTATATATAGAAGTTTTTATCTTTTGTAAGGCTGAATTATGTTCTGTTGTGTGTATATATCACATTTTGTTTATCCATTCATCTGTTGATGGACACCTGGATTGATTTCACCTCTTGACTATTATGAATAACACTACTATAAATATGGGTTTACAAATATCTCTTCAGGATCCTATGTTTAATTCTTTTGAATATATGCCTTGAAGTTGAATTGTTGCTTCATATAGTCATTCAATTTTGAATTATTTGAGCAAGCATCATACTTTTTTCCATAGGGGCTGCACCATTTTACATGCTGCACAGCAGTGCACAAGACTTCCTGTCCTTCGATATCTTTGCCAACACTTATTTTTTGTTCTTTTTAACAGTAAACATCCTAATGTGTTTGAGATGGTATCTCATTGTGGTTTTTATTTGTATTTTCCTAATGATTAGTGATGTTTGCATCTCTTCTTGGCCATTTGTATATCGTCTCTGGAGAAATGTGTATTTGGTTCTTTTGTTTATTTTTTAATCAGGTTTTGGCATTTTTTTGTTGTTGAATTGTAGGAGTTCTTTATATATTGTGGATATTAACTCCTTATCAGGTACATGATATGCCAGTATTTTCTCTCATTCTGTATGTTTTCTTTTTACTCTGTTGTTTCCTTTGATGTGCAAGATGAGCCACAGAAGTTTTTTTATTTTGTTATAGTCTATTCTGTCTGTTTTTAATTTTCTTGCATGTGATATCCAGGAAATCACTGTCAAATCCAATGTCATGAAACTTCTTACCTATGTTAACTTCTAGGAATTTTATAGGTTTAGGTTTTCCATTTAGGTCATGTATCCATTCTGATTAACTCTTGTAAATGGTGTCAAGTAAGGGTCCAGCTTTATAGTTTTGCATGTGGATAAGCAATTTTCTCAGCATCATTTGTTGCAGAGATTATCCTTTCTCTATTAGATGGTGTTGACATCCTTATTGAAAATCATTTGAGGATATGTATGAGAATTTGTTTCTGGCCACTCTATTATATTCCATTGGTTGATATATGTGTCTTTATGCCACTGTAGCAGTGTTTTGATTATAGTACCTTTGTAATAAATTTTGAAATCATGCAATATAACACCTCCAACTTTGTTCTTTTTCAAGTTTGTTTTACTGTTCAGGATAATGTTAGGGTGGATTTATCTATTTCTGTATAAACTGCCATTGGTATTTGGTAGGGATTTATATTAACCTGTAGATCACTGTGGACATTATTACCATATTAAGTCTTCCAACTCATGAACACAGAATGTCTTTGTATTTATTTGTGTTTTTTCTAATTGCAGCAATGTTTTGTGGTTCAGTGTACAAACTTTCTCCTTTTTAAGCTTATTCATAACTATTTAATTCTTTATGATGGTATTGTAAATGGAATTGTTTTCTTAATTTTCTTAGATTATTCTTTTTTAGTGTATATAATAGCAATTGATTTTTTCATACAGTTTTAATATCCCACAACTTTACTGAGTTCCTTCATTAGTTCTAACAGTTTTTTCCTGTGGAATCTTTAGTGTTTTCTACATATAAGATTATTTAATCTGTGAACAGAGATCATTTTACTTCTCTTTTCAATGCATGCCTTTAACTTC